CAGAAACTATGCCACAGATGCCACCTGCTTAATTCTTATTTTAGTCATTTAAAACTGTGAAAAACTAGTACATCTTGGAATTAATGAGATATGGTAATAACCATAACTACTGGTCAGTAACACCAAAGTTTCCCCCACTAGGTATATGGTCTCCATGTTATTAATAAAGGAATATGTCAGGCATATATTTAATTAGATGTAGGTTTTGATAAAAGTCTCCAGAAAGAGATTTCTAGAAACTCATTGAACTAGACCAGAAAGATGAGTCATACTTTATTAATCCAGTCTGACAGTCTCTGCCTTTTTATAGTATTTAGAATACTTATATTTAATGTGATTATTGATATGATTAGGTTTGTCTATCATATTGCCATTTGTTTTTAATTTGTCTCCTCTCATTCTTTTTCTCCTTGTTCTGCTTTTCTTTGGATAACCTTAAGAAATTCCATGTGTGTACATTTGTTATAAGTACTTCTGAAGATTTTAATATACATTTTAAACTTATAGTATACCTTCAAATAATATTATGTTGTCATATTATGTATGAACCTTACTGAATACCTTTATTTGCCTCCTCCCTTATTTGTACTGCTATATAGTTTGCTTTTATAAATGTTATAAATGCCACAACATAATATTATTAGTTTTATTTTATTTTAAAGATTTATTTATGCATATAAGAACTGGGGTACAGGCCAGAGGTGCAGGGGGTGAGAGGATTTACCAGAGACAGAGTGGGGAACAGAACAGGCAGACTGACTGAAATAACACTGAGAGGAGCAGCACCTACAAGAGAGGTCTGCTGAGCCATGTGGGTAGCTCCCTGGCTGGCTGGGGATGGAACTCATGCTGCAGAGGCTGCTGATTGCTTCAAAGTGCTGAGCTTAACAACCCCTTGCGCTACCAGGAAGCCCCTTCTTAGTTTTATTTTAAACATCAAAATTTTGAAAAAAGAAACTTAACAATGAGACACATCTTGAAGTTTTGTTGGACTGAGTCTAGAATATTTCCATTAGGATTCTGTTAGATGTTCTGTGAACACATGGCCTGCTGAGATCTTACCTTGGGAGTTCAACAGGTTTCTCTACTCTGACTGATGAAAACCAAGAAGTCTCCTAGCCCTGTGGGAGGCTTTGGAATTGTTCAGGTACAACTCCCTGGAAATTCTTTGCCTATCCTATGGAGTTTCACTCTGCACACATGAAATTTACTACTCAGTAAGAGAATTAAGTGATTGCCTATGTAAATTTCTGGAGCTCTTCCTCGCTATCTTCTTCCCCTCTGAATGAGCATTGACTCCTCAATTTAAGGAGAGTAGCACACTCTGCTTGGCTTCCCCCTTCTTGTGCCCACAGTGTAGTTTGTGCCAGAGAAAGTTGGGATGATTGTAGGGCTCACCATATTTATTTGTGATCCCACCTCTCAAGAATCACAGTCCCCTGCTTTGTATTCCGATGAACAGTATAGTGGAAGGGAAAATCTGTCTCATTTCTTCCTGCACTTGCGATATCTTTTAAGACTTTTTTTAATCTTCCTTGAAATTTATTTTTTTAGGAAATTGTGTCATTTGCCCTATAAAATGACCTGCAGTCTGGATTTGGCTGTTGCCATCTTGTCTAGTCTAATATGTTCCTCTGTATTGCTTTTAAAGTGGTAATTGGAACTAGAGCAAAGTTCTTAACCTTGACACTATTGACTATTTTGGGCTGGATCATTCTTTGTAGGTGACGTGATGAATGGTTGGAGAGTGACCTGAACATGTAGGATTTTTAATAGCATTCCTGGCCTACACCCACTAGATGTCAGTAAAACTCCCTCCCCAGTTGTGATAATCAAAAATGTTTCCAGACGTTGTCAAATATTTTTCAACCCATGTTCTGTTATGAAATATAATTTATCTAAATACAGGATCAACTATAGGACTATTAAGACACCTACCTGACAGAAATATCAAAGCAGTGAATCTGTGAAAAACAACTTAGCAGTATCCAGTTGAGGCTTCATAGAATGAATGACCCAACAGCAACATTATAGGGGATTTGAGTTTCTGTTTGATAAGGAAAAATACTAGAGATGATAATAATGTAAAATTGTAAAAATACAAGTAAGTTCTTTTAAGTTATGTTGCTTCCATAAGTGTTTTTCTTCAACCTGTTTAACATTTTAAGATATTGAACTTTTACTATATATATATAAACTAATGTTTTTTCTTTGTCTTCAAACACTCTACAGTTTAATTATAAACCAAGAATTTTGACTTGCAGAAAGATATTGTTGCAATAATGAGCTTTTCATACTTGAAACTTATTTGTGTGGAAGAAATACTTTACATGTTGAGGGGGATTAACAAAATATTGTTTTTGATTTAAAGGTGAACTACCATTTTTTAAAAATGTTTCCAAACATTGTTCTTATTAAGGAAGAAGGGTAGGGAGATGACGTGTTTTTTAAAAAGTTTAACAGGAAGATTGAAATTGAGAGACTTCTCAGAATTTCCCTCAAAAGGCTTATAATTTAAATGTCTAGATAATATTCATTGAGACCCACTTTGTGTTAGGTTCTATGCACAATAGTTGGCTCTTCTGAGGTGGTTTAGAAGTTGATCTGGTGAGATAGGCCTTGAGATTGACTCAGATCAGATCCAAGACACAGATTCCTTCCTTGAGCTCCCTAAAGGCTATCCCACCCAGGCCCTCCTAGGTCTTTGGAATCCTTTCTCCTCAATGATGTGCTTCAGTTTGGTCATCAGTACTTTTGACTTGATACAGTTATGTTTAAGACTTAATGGGCAAGTTAAAAAAATTAAGTCTGAGAAATAATTGTAGAGCTCGGGTAATCAAGGATCCTGGGATTCTCGTATTTCTTCTCCATGTAACAATCTAGGGGCTTAATTAATTTCACATCCCTAGAACTGTTTGAGAGAGGTGTCCCTCTTCCCTTTCTTCTCCAGTGGGTAGTCTCTTTTTTTCTCTTTCTTATCGTCTGTCTCCATCTTATTTTCTCTTTCTTTACTTGTCTCTGAATCTTCCTTGGTCTTCCTGCCCTCTCCTTTCTGCAGTGGATTCTCTCCTTCTCACGCCTCTCTTGTCTTTCTTTCCTGCTTTTTCTCTCCCACCTCCACCCTACATACTCCACATACCCCACATACTCCCCATCAGACCTTGTTCAAGACATTGTCAGTTCTTCCATTAAAGGAACATGATCCTTTTTATTAAGGGGAATGCTGGAGAAGATAGCACAAAGTGTCATTTTAAGGTAGATATAAGGAGGGCCTCCCCTGGTGGCGCTGCGGTTGAGTGCTGGGCTGCGAGGCTGCCCGCAGCCTCTGCAGCGTAGGTTCGTTCCTGGCCGCTGGCAAGGGTCCCACAAAAAAAAAAAAAAAGTAGATATAAGGAAATGTTTGAGGTTAAGTGACTTCTCTCAGAAATCTTATTTAATCAGGATTGCTCTTTTCTAACCCCTTTTTGCCCCCTTTTAGCCTGGAAACTCCTGAGCTCTTCTTTTAGATTGCTTAATTTTGGGGCATCATCAGTTTCCATGGTGAGATTCCATGGTGAATTTTTCTTTGTATGTGTCCTTAGAAAGGCAGTTTGACTTTAAGATTTCTTGATTGTCTGTGACTTGTCCTTGGTACTGTTGTGTTTGGGGTTTGAAGGAGGAAATTTGTGTAAGTTGAGTCTAAAGGATTCAGCATGGAACTCAAAGTAACAAAGGAGGTGAGTATTTCATGTTTATCTTTTCCAAGTATTATCTGAATTTGCTTTATTTCCCCCCAGGATTGTTTTTCCTATAAAGGTTCAAAGTTATGAGAGATGTTCCTCTTTTTTTCCCCCTGTAGTTGAATGTTCTGTCTCTCTCCTTTCCTGCACCCTCCCCCTTCCCAACTCCCTATGCATTTGTTGGCTCTACCATGCTCACATCCTTTTTGTCTCTGCAATTCTCACTTCTCATTTCTTGTTCATCTACCCATTCGACTTTCACGTTTTTACTGTCTTCCTTGATTTTTGTCTCTCTCCCCATTTGTCTTCACCTTGGATTACTCTTGTACACACTCTCCACTGTCTCTTCTGCATTCTCCCATTGGTGAAAATTTTTCTCTCTGCCCACAGTCACTGTCTGATTGTCCACCAGTTCTTTCTAAATGTCCTGGCGCTGAGTAAATGACATTGCTCGTTCCAGGGAATAGTATGCTTTAGAAGCTTACGTGCTTTCAACCCCTGCTGCTTTCTTTAATTATTCCATCTTCTAAGCATTTCTCATTCTGAGTGAGTTTGAGAGTGCTGTTGAGGGAAGTAGGATAGAAAATACCTCTACGGAGGACAGAATAGTTCCCTGGTTTTGAGGCTGTTCATCCTTCTGAAAAATAGTTGAGCTAAGCATGTGTTTTATTTCCCGCCTATCCCCCCCCCCTTTTTTTTTTTTTTTTGCTATGTTTATCTTAAAGGAGTTGGAGAAAGAGGAACAAGGTGGTCATAAGTACTTTATAAGAAATGTAGATCGTTCATTTGAGAATGCAGTGACTCGTTCCTAACTTTGCTCCGCCTTATCCTGCCACCAGCCGCGCGGGGTGGCTCACTGGTCCTGCAATGCTGGGGCCAGTCTGCGGCCGGGGAGCAGCTGACAGCCAGCGCCCGGCGCGCCACAGCCAGCAGCCGCCCCCACCTGCCGCCCAGCGCCGGCCCCGCCCCCCGGGCGGAGGAGCCCACGGGCTGGGCGTGCGGCCAGGCACGCCCCCCACGGCGCGCGGGCCAGTAGGATGGGCGCGGGGCCGGGCCTCCGCCGTGCGGGCAGCGGGAGGCGAGGCCGGAGGCGGGGGGGGCGGGGCGGCCGGGGGCGGGGGTGGGCGGGGCGGCCGGGGGCGGGGTGGGCGGGGCGGCCGGGGGCGGGGGTGGGCGGGGCGGCCGCTGCCGGCGCGGTCGTGGCGGTAGCTGCAGGGGCGTCCGCGGGCCGTGGGGGATGGGGGCGGCGAGCTGCGGCCCGTGGCGGCTGCTGCTGAGGCGGCCGCGGCCGTGAGTGTGACGCGGGCGTCCGCGACCGGCGCGGGATGGAGCCCCGCGGTGAGTGTGGCGGCGGGGCTCGCTCGGCCGGGGCGGCGGGGCTCCGCCGGGGTCGCCCGCGGGGGCCGCCCGCGAGGTGCCGTCCAGGGTCCGGAGGTCACGCGGCTGACCCGGGCCGGGCGACTGCGGGCTGCGCGGAGGGCGGCGCCCTCGGGCCGGGTGGTCGCGGCTCCGCGCCGCGGGGAGGGTCGGGCGGGCGAGCGCGGCGGGGCCGCGGGGAGCGCGGGGCTGTGACCTGAGGCGACGGCGACGCTGGCACCGCGGCGAGCGGCGCCCCCGGCCCGGGCACTGTCCCCGCAGCGCTCCACGGCTTAGCTCGTCAGCCTCTCGTGGGTCCTTGATTTAACTCCCTTGCACGGGGGGACGAGTTGAACACCGACCCGAGCGCGGCGCCGGTCAGCAGCTGCGTGCGGGCGGTTTACCCCGCAGTCCGCCGCGGCCGCGGCCCGGCGCTGCCCCAACAGGGTCTCATTCCTGAGCTCGCTGAGGATTTCCGCGGTACATTGTTTCTCCGGTCTGTGTTTTTGGACTGAGGAGCGGCGTTTCCTTCCGAGGCCGCCTCCTTGGTAATGGTTTTTCCTAATTCCGTTGTGGACGTGTTTGGAGAGTGAGGGGGGCGGGGCGGGGGCTCTGCTTTTTAAAATCTCCTTTTGACGGGTGAGCCAAGTCTGAGAATTTTCAAACTGGAGCCCTCGTGACTGACAAGCCTCGTGTTTCCATCTTTATAGTTTTCCCCTCTTCCTCCAGAAGAAATTGAACTCACACCTTTTCGGAGGGCAAGGCTGCTAACTGCTCAAGGCGCGAACTAGGAGCCCCTTCCCGTTCCTCCTTCTGTCTTCTTGACTATCTTTTCCGCCCCATCATTGCCTGCTCCCCTTTTTGGTCGCTCTGTATTTGAACTCTAGCATGTGGAATATGCTCTTTGGCACGGGGTAGTTGTGACTGGTCAGGGGGGAGCCCTGTCTGTGAGGAATGCTAGACATTCTGCAAGGGTGGGAGGTTGGGCAGCTTCCTCTTTTTCCTAAGTGCTGGGTTCTACTGCGCAGGAACGAAGAGCGGTGTAATGCATACATTTCTTTCGAAATTACAGTTACTCGATTATTATTGAAAAGTTTTTGACGTGCTGTTACTCTTTTTTTGTGGGGGAAAGCCTTTTAAAAATATAATCAAACATCTCCAGGATGAATTTTTCACATTTTTAAAAAGCATTAGAGTAGATTTTTATCAAATCAGAAAGTGTGCCAAGAAAGTAGACGTCTGAAATATCTGACAATGTTTTTTCTGAGGTAGAAGTAGAAGATGGCAATTATAAGTACGGTTATCTGGGGCCAGTTTTATACTTTAATTAGGCAGCCCAATGCCTAAAATGAAAATGATGATGCATTTAGGAATGGGGAGCTGGGTATTTGATTTAACACTGTTGCTGAAGTTTTGGAAAAGCCTTGTTTCTGGGTGTGGAGAAGATTGTATTCAGTTTTCTAATGCACCTATTACCCAGAATCTAGAACATAACAGAGGAAGTGGAGAAAACATTTTTAAGTATTGATGGTTTGGAGTTGGAAGGCACACATGGAGAATTTCACAAATACTTTGCTCAACAATCTGTTTGCACAGTTCAAACTTCACTTGGAAGCCAGTTAGTCGGTTTCCATGGAGTAAGTTTAGTTTCTGGACGTTTCCAGTCCTATGTTTCTTGTTCACAATCTATAGATATATTGTAGTGGAGTCACATCTTGTAGATTCAGAAACAATTTTCCATGATAAACCACTGCTGGTTACAATAGCTAACATTTTGAGTCACAATGATGAACCAGGCACTGTACTAACTGCTTTTCATATTATTTCATTTTATTAAATTGCCAGTTGCGGTCTGTTCATAATTACATTTTCTGTTACCACCAACCAAAGAAATTTTTTTGGCATTTGTGCAAGTAGTGTATATGATTTTGAAAAGTGTATATATTCCAGACTTTCTCATAAAGCTCAGTTTCATGCAAGTTTGGATTATCTGTGCTATTTAAGATTTTTTTATATTCCGTTTTTCATTTTGAAATATGAAAGGTTGTAAAGTATGTATCACAAATTTAGTACATTAATCACCATAATGCTGCCTAAAGATAGAGTAAAAACCTTTTTACTTCTCCACCATTTTTGTTTTTTTATGGATTTTTCTTAGCTTTGACTAAAAATGCTTATGCATTTTTTAAACACTTTTAACAACTCTGGGTTACTAATTTGACCTGGTTACTTAAATTCTTTTTGCTGAGGCAGGTGAATTATTTTATTTGGAAGTTATGATATATGTGATAATTTTATAACCATCTATTACCAGTGACAGTGACCAGTTCCTTAATATAGTAAACTAAAAGCCATCAAAATTAATCACTGACTTTTGAGGTAAGTTGCAAAACTGAAAATGTTAGGTTAGTCTTCTCAATTAGGATTTGTAGAAGAGCTGCCCAAATAATGCCCTTGAGTATTTTGTTTTTGTTGGAGGGGGGGAAGACTTAGGTATAATAGTAGTGCTAAAAAAATAGTGCTCAAAATATTGCCTTAGATTTATTTTGGGAATTTTCTACATATTTGAGGATTAATGTCATAGAGGTTTAAAACAAGTTTTAGTATAGAAATAACATTTTTCATAAATTACTGAAGATTAACAAGAATATGGAATAAAGGAACTTTGAAAGCTGTTAGAGACATGTTGGAAGCACTTTATTTAATAATCAGAAACAGAAACAATAATAAAATTCCAACTTTGATTTCAGTCATTGCCTTCAGCAACTTCATTTGCTTGATTTTTCTTGAAATTTTTAAGTGAACCATTTTTGTTTCTATTAAAATTGATTGAAAATAAACCCATTATTCATTCTATAAATTTATTATTCATTCTGCAAATCGTCTTGAGTAGTTCATCTTTAATAAACCAAGCTCTGTTCTGTGAGTGGAGAAAACTCGGTTAGCTAACAGACATGGTCTTGATTTCCTTGAGATATAATCTAGATAGGAAGATACAAATCATCTATTCGAACTTTGATAATTGCAATGATGAAAAGTATAAGATGCTATCTATATATACAACATCAAATAGGAGATTCTGCTCTAGTTTGTTGGTGGTTTTGGGTTGGATTGGCCAAGGAAGGTGTCTTTGAAGAATTAGTTTTTGAACTGAATCAGAATGAATAAATGAAGGGGGAGGGTCGTCCAGCAAGTGGGACTGCTTATAGACAGGACCTGAGTCTAACAATCTTTTTCATTATGAGTATGAAACCAATTTGGTGGGTTGCAACCATCATTGTAAAAAATGAAGTGGGATAACATAGGAAATATCTGAGTTCAACACTTGGCTTGTTGGTCAGAATCTGTTTTAAGTTTTAATGCATTCCTGTACACACCTGATATACATATAGTAGCTCAGACAAGAGCTGATGATAATAGTTCACTTAGTGTGATAGTAGAGACAAGTGGTTGAAGAGCTGTGGATTAGGAAGAAGGAAAACCAGTGGAGTCCAGTGAGCTTTAGGAAAGAGTAAATGATAAGGTAATATATCTTATGTATCATCCAGAAATGAATATTTCAAAAGCTTTCTACTGTAAATTTTATAGATATTAGTAGCTCTACCATTTTGAAACTATCCAAACATTTGAGACAAAGTATTTGAAAAATGTTTTAGTGATAGTGCTTGAACTAATTTAATTCCTCCAGTCATTTCCTTTTTGATTTCAAGAGATACAAGCAAAATTAGGATTATTACATCTGGAAAGATTAAAGATGAGGGTACAGAAGAAACAGATTAAGATTTTCTTGAGTTCCACCTATGAGCCAGGACCTGGTGTTTTAACATATGACATTGGTAAATTTTGTCTTCCCCTTTAAACCTCCTACAAGCCTGTTTGCAGATTGTACAGGTCACATGTTTAGTTAAGTATTTAGCCAGGATCCACATCTAAGTCTTTCTCATTCCCAAACGTGGTGTTTTTACTATATCATCCTGAAATACCAAAAATTTATTTCAATAATCATACATTTATTTGTCCAACCAAGGTATGTCAGATTAGTAGACAATCTTAGAACTTGTTTTTAACAAAGTTAAAAACTTGACAACTCATCAGTGTGTGTTTGTACACATGCATGTGTTGCTGAGAATTAATTGTAATTGAACTTCTTTTATGTGCTGGACACTTCCATACTATTTCATTTAATACTGACAATAACTCCATGAGATAGGTATTGTCAAGATGTTACCCTTATTTTATAAAGGAGCATGCCAAGGAAGAGACGATTGCCACCTTGTCAGATCATACATAGTACGTGGTGGGAGGGAGTTCGAAAGCAGATCTTTCTTTTTTCAGAGCTCATATTTCATCTTTATTTTTGATGTTGTTATCACTGAGGGAGAATATGTCCTTCTACAAAGTGACATTTCAGAACAACTTTTACTTACTATTAAAAAATCTCTGCTAGTTAAGAGAACATTAGTAAGAATGTGGATTTTGGCAACAAGGCAGATACCGGGTTAAGTGTGAGTCCATCATTTATCAGCTGAGAGTTTAGACAAGTTATTTAACCTTTAAACTTCAGTTTCCTCACTGTGACATAAAGAGAATGATAGTTTGCACATCATAGAGTTATCAAGGTTACTGACACTTAATAAATGGAAGCTGCTTGTTGTTTTTAATGGAATGTTGGGGTGGGCTCTGGGCTATTTGTGAAAAAGCTATTATGTTTCCCCTTGTTGATGTAGTATTTGTGTTTCTTTCTTTTTTTTTTTTTTTCTTGCCCCCTTAAGGATTTCAGTTTATCTGACTGCTATATGAAAGGATGATTGCTCACAAACAGAAAAAGACAAAGAAAAAACGTGTTTGGGCATCAGGCCAGTTCTCTACTGATGTTACAACTTCTGAAATGGGGCTCAAATCCATAAGTTCCAACTCCATTTTTGATCCGGATTACATCAAGGAGTTGGTGAATGATATCAGGAAGTTCTCCCATATGTTACTATATTTGAAAGAAGCTATTCTTTCAGGTTTGTCATTTCTTTTCTCTTAGTATTTTTACTGGGTAGTTTGTAAAATTTTAAATGCCATCCTAGCTATAGATAAGTGTGTACACAGTGGTAGGAACAGGGTATCCTGCTTTAGTTATTTCATGACTTTTTTCCCCTCAAATGTTTGATGTTTACAGTGTAAATAAACATTATAATCAGATACAGTGCCATACATAAAAGAAACTTCGGTAAATGTGAACGAACAAAAATTACAAACAATTGGAAATTAGTCCTTGATTCTTTGTAGTTAGGCCCATTTGACAGAGGAAAAATTTAGATCATTGGAGTTTTTACATTCTGTTCCTAATAACCAGTGCATTTATTAGTCTTTAATAAGCAGAGTAATGTTTATAATTTACATTGTTGACACTTCTACCTAGATTCTGTTTTCTGTGTTGTTTCTAAAACATAATCTAAAATTACTGCATTTGAGTGAATTTTTCTCAAAAATCAGACTCTGTTCTGCTGTTCTATAAACTCTTAAGTTAAGGGATAAGCATCTCTTCCCTGTCTAGTTAGAAATGGATAATGGAATGCAAGGCTTGAGTCTCCTAAAATAAAGGGTTATATCTGCACTCCTTGATTAGTTAAGTCTTTCAACTTTTAGTGCCTCTTGTGTATCCAAATTTGATGGCAATGATAATTATGAAGTTACAGCTCCTATTATTTTGAGATTAAGTAGCAGTTCATTTCCATGTGCATAATGATATGATTGCTATGGAAAATGAAGATTCCTAGTGTGTATGAGACCTCTTGAGGTTTCAGAGACATAAAATTTCAATAAATATTTTGTACGTGTGTAAGTTAAATATTCAGTTTCTGATATACTTCTGAAAAACAAATTAAACCACATCTCGTACTTTTACTGAATACTGTTTTTTGAAGAGTTTATTTTCTAAGGTGACTGTAATTATCAGGTTGAAATGCAAAAAGTAACTATACTTGATGTATAGCCTCAATTTCAGTTTTTAAATTTTTCTTAAAATGACAATCACATGACAGTCATGTTGCCTACATTCTGTTCATTTCAATAACTTGATTTTAAGGTCTAATTATGGATGATTAATAATAATAAAATTATCCTGTTATTGTGGAGAGATATTTTATTTATTTATTTAAAAACATTTGTTTATTTATTTATACAAACACTGGGTACAGTTAGAAGCACGGGAGGGTGAGAGAATTCACCAGAGCCAGAGCAGGGAACAGAACAGGCAGACTGATGAAATACACTGCTGAGGGGAGCAGTGGATGTGGCATGAGAGGTCTGCGTGCCATGTAGGACCCTCACCGGTTGCTGGGGATCCATCCGGTGCTGCAGAGGCTGCAGGCAGCTTTGCAGCCCAGCACTCAACCGCTGTGCCACAAGGGGAGGCCCTGGAAAGATATTTTAAATACACTAAGTATTATACTGCTAACAGATTTCTTACTAAAATAACAGACATGCCACTTGTTTAAAGAAGCATAGCTTTTTAATAAAGACTTGTTCTTAATTAGGATAATTGTTTTAAATTTGTCTTTTAATTTAATTACAGTAAAACTTATTCTTTTTGATGTATAGTTAATTAACTGGATTAATTTTTCAAGTGAACTTTAAATAACCAACTAATTTAGGGCAAAATCTTATTTTAATGTATTAAAATAAAGTTTTCATTAATATTAATATTTTTTGTTAGGATTTCTGTTTTTGTTTGCCCTTGGAGGTTTATATTATTTAAAATCATCTCGTATACTTATCCTTTATTTCACAGATTAAAAATGATGGTAATTTAAAACAAGTCATTTTTTTATCACCACTGTTTTACTGAGTTTTAATTTCTTAAATAATTCAGAGATTAGGAAGGAAATGGTAATTGAGAAAAGACAGAAGTGGTAGTAAGTATAAGACAGCAAATGGAGATACACCTTGAGATAAAAGGATGCATATGGAAATATGTTTTTAACTGAAACTTAGTATTAAAAATATTTTAATAAAATCAGTACTTCAGGTTTTAAATAGTTGTATCACTAATAATAAAAATGCTTGCTACTTATGACTAGTAAATTAATTTTAAAATACAAAAATATTTGTATGATAAACTTTTATTAGTAAACAGTGACCAGAGAATTTTTATTATTTACCTTTTGATTGATTTTATTTATTTTTTTAAAGATTATTTATTTATGCATATAAGAACTGGGGTACAGGCCAGAGGTGCAGGGCATGTGAGGATTCACCAGAGACAGAGTGGGGAACAAAACAGGCAGATGGACTGAAATACACTGCTGAGGGGAGCTGCAGGTGAGATAAGAGAGGTCTGCTGCATCATGTGGGTCTCTCCCTAGCCAGCCATGTATCCAGCTGGTGCTGCAGAGGCTGCAGATAGCTTCACAGTGCTGTACTTAACCCCTTGCACCACCAAGGAGGCCCTTTGATTGATTTTAATATTCTTTGTTCTTCAGGGGGCCTCCCCTGGTGGCGCAGCGGTTGAGCCCTGGGCTGTAGGGCTGCCTGCAGCCTCTGCAGCACCGGTTCATTCCGGCCGCCAGCGAGGGTCCCACATGGCACGCAAACCTCTCCTGCTGCATCTGCTGCTCCCCTCAGCAGTATACTTAATCAGTCTGCCTGTTCTGCTCTCCGCTCTGGGTCTGGTGAATTCTCTTACCCTCCCGCACTTCTGACTGTACCCAGTGCTTGTATAAATAAATAAATAAATCTTTTAAAAAAAGGTTTAAAAAAAAGTATGTATGTATGTATTCCATCTCATAATAAATCTTGGATTTAACAAGTATTTAATATCTTTGGATCACTATTATAAAGATTTGGAAATATACTCTGATATTGAAATACTCTGAGATCGATTTTTGTTTTTGTTTTTTCCCTTAAACAGGTAGTATTTACAAACATAAATCAACTTCATTACAAAATGTGAGGGAGATGATCTATAATGACAGGCTTTATTTAATTTTGATCATAATTTTCAGGTTCTTAGATTATCAGACTATTTCTTGTTAATGAAATTGTTGTTACAAGAATAATAATGAAATGCAATCTTCAAGAAACAGGTAAAAAGTTAAAAATTCTATTACCACTATTTAAAGTGGTATTTTTATGTATGTTCCTGTAGACAGTTGTCATGCGTTTTTCCATCCAGGTTTTGAGAAATACCCTGGAACATATGTTCTTCTTTAGTACCACCATAATTGTAAACTGGCCAGACAGCAAAGATAAAACTTTCTTGAATTTTTTTTCTTTTTGAGAGAGCCTTCTCTCAAAAATTTTGTCAGTGGCTTTGCCATTGTTTTGTCTTTTGCATCCTTAAGAGGAAGGATGCCGGCTTTTTGTATTACTGCCTTTTAATTCATGTTAGTTGGTGATTGAAAAGCTAAAAGGCTACCTTTAAAGAATATAGAATGTATGTGTACAATTAGATCACCATTTGATGTAATCCAGGTACCCATCATGAGGCAATATGTGCAAAATCATTTGACTGTTGCTTCAGGTGTTCAATCATATTATTGAGGTTAGGCTTAGATTAATAGCTGTTGATTGTTTTATAGACATATTTTCCTTTCCTTGAACTAATTACAGAAATAATACATAATTGTTTAAGATGCTTCACATTTTATAAGGTAGTTTTACTTATAGACAATAATCACACAATCCCCACAGAAGCAAGTATTTCAGCCACATTTCACAGATGAGTTGTATGTGTAACTTAGATTATGTTATTTCATTAATCTTTTATTGCTGATAAAGTGTGACTTCATTTGGAACCCAGAGGTCATAAAGACAGAATGGTGTGTTCTTTCTGTGTTTTCCTAACTGCTTCACATTGCAGGCATTCAAAACTCGCTGCTTTGTTTTCATTAGCTAATTTTGTTTTCCACGGGGATTATGTCGACTTGCATGATTCAATATGGTAGCCTTCAGTGGGTATTTTAATTTAGTTAAATTGAAAATTTAGCTCATCAGTTGGGGTAGCCACATTTCAAGTCCTTATTTGCCATATGTGACTATTGGATACCATAATGGACAGTGAAGTTGCAAAGATTTCCATCATTGACCTTTCTTTTGGACAATGGTAATACAGACATTTGGCCTTTATCAGTCTTGAGAATATGGAAATGAATTCTTGAGCTGTAAGTATTTTTGATTTCTTAAAAAGAAACCTAGAAAAAGTTATCATTGAAGCAAATTTAAGAAAATTTAACCTAGAAATAGGTGGAATCCCTTTCCTTAAATTGCCTTTGGAGTGTGTAGTTTTCATGCCCTTCCTCAATTTGAACACCAGTTCATCTGTTTCCAGCCTGTTTATAATTTGGTTGAATTGATAGTGAGAGTGACAAAAAGAGCTCTGGGAAGAGAATCACATATATGATATAGGTTATAGGCCTGGTTCTCTACTGAGTGGTTTGGATTATGGCATGTCAGTTAATAAATAGTTAAGAATGATGGGCCTCCCTTGGTGGCGCAGCGGTTGAGCACTGGGTTGCGAGGCTGCCCAGTCTCTGCAGCGCCAGTTTGATCCCCGGCCACAGGCGAGGGTCCCACAAAAAATAAAAAAAAAAGAATGAGGTGCATTCATCAGATACTGTTTGTCTTAACACTTCTGAGATTCAACATTTTATTGGAGTTGGAGATTTTGCGTTGTTCTGAATACTGAAAGTTCAAACCTAAAGAAGACATCTATTAAGTATTTGTTTTCAAATTGTATAATGCATTTAGAGGACATTCATCTCCCACCAGTTTATAGGATTTCTTGAATGTGAGTTTTATGATAACTATTTTACGTGTGGTTTTGTGAAATTTCACAAGTGAGAATGTGAAGCTCATATGCAAAAGTTGATGAGGAACTGTTTATAGAAAATAAGTGCCTGCCAAAGAGTTCTGTGTTCCTATCAGTTGACTCTAATATTTTGCTTTATAAATAAAAATGGAGAGCTTCATGTGGGACTTAGGACTGTGAAATACTTGCTTTGATAGGGTAAGAGATAGT